TCCAGCCCCGCTCAGGATCACCCTCGAAAAGGTGAAAGCCCAGCAGTTTGAGATGTTAGTATTGTTTACCGAAACTGACACACTTAAGTTTACATTGCTAGGACAAGTAAGGAGGAAGCATGAAGTTCCTGTGTAATCTCTCCTGTCTCCTCTGTTATTAACATCGTTCATTGATATGGTATTTTTGTTAAAATTGATGAGCTAATGCGGCCGTATTACTAATAATTAAATACACAGTTTACATTGAGGTTCCTATTTGGTCTTCGACACTCTACACTTTTTGTTTTTGGCACCCGGGATTGAACTCAGGTCTTCGTGCTTGGGAGGCAGGCGGCAGAACCACTGAGCTAAATCCCCGGCTCGACACTCTATATGCTTTCGACAAATGCAGAATATCACGTATTCACCACAACAGTATCACACAGAATCAAGTTGCTGTCCTAAGAGTCTCCTGTTTTCAGTCTATTCATCTTTTCCCCCATCTTCCCCTCAATCCTGGACAACCACTGAGATTTTCAGTTTTGTCTTTTCTAGAATGTCATCTAGCTAAAATCATATGGTGCTGCGAGAGTCCTTCTTTCACTTAGCAATGTGTCTTAGTTTCCTCTACGTGTTTTTGTGATCTGATACATTTCTTTTTATCTTTGAATAATTCTGAGATTTTCAGTTTTGTCTTTTCTAGAATGTCATCTAGCTAAAATCATATGGTGCTGCGAGAAGTCCTTCTTTCACTTAGCAGTGTGTCTTAGTTTCCTCTACGTGTTTTTGTGATCTGATACATTTCTTTTTATCTTTGAATAACGTTGCATTGTATGTATCTTAAATACGGTTCGCTGCTTAGGTATTCATGTATTGAAGTCTATCTTGCTTATTTCCAATCTGGGGCAAATATGAATAAGGCTAAATAAGTATAAAAATACTTGTGTGCAGGCTCTTGCATGGACAAAAGTTTTCATCTAACTTGGGTACACAGAAGTGCAATTGTGGATTGTATGGTAAAATTATGCTTAACTTGTAAGAAACTGTCAGCTGGGTGTGGTGGCGTAATCTGTAATTCCACATACCAGGAAGCTGAAGCAGGAGGATTGGAACTTCATGCCCGACCTGGGCAACTTAGTCTTACTTTATCTAAAAATAAAAAAGGGTTGGGATTTAGTGCAGTGCGTAGGCCCTGAGTTCAATCCCCAGTACCATAAACAAAACATGACCATCAACAAAAAAGAAATGGCCAAATTGTCCTGCAAAATGACTGTATTGTTTTGCACTCCTACTATGAATGAGAGTTTCTGTTGTTCCACATGCTTAACAGTTTTTGGTGTTGTGAGGGTTTGGATTTTAGTCATTCTGATAAGTTTGTCGAGGCATCATGTTTCTGTTTTAATTTGCAAAGATATTTTAGATTAAGCATCGTTTCCTATGATTATCATGTGTCACCTTTGATGTATCTACTAAATCTTTTGCCTATTATATATTTTTTTTAGTTTTAAGAATTTGTAATTTTCAAGATAAGTTCCTTATCCTATGTTACTTGGAAATTTTTTCTCCCAGTTGCTGCTATGTCTTTCTATTCCTTTCAATGTCTCTAAGAGATTCCCCATGTGTTAGAGAAACTCTAGGCTAAAGTTTTGGGTGCTATGGGGTTCAGAACTGAAGGGTGAAGATGTCAAAGGCAACTTCCTAGAGCTGCAGCCACTGAAAATAGCCTTGACACTGTAAAAGTGTCTGTACCAGGAAATAAAACAGAATAAAACAAAAATACTGAGTTGGAATGGTTCTTTAAATGAACTTCAAAGACACAGAAAGTAATAGATTGGGAGGCTGGCTTGGTATCCCACTGATTAGGTAAATCTAAGAAAAAGTTACTACACAAACACAATCAGGAATTTCTTGGAGAGGAAGGCAGCTACGGTGGCACAGTATAAGGAAAATGCTCTTCAATAGCGAGAAAGAATGTGGAGTAAATAAAACAAAGGGTTCAAATAATAGAACAATAAAAATGAAAACCCATGATGCATACGTACAAAGACACCCGATGCAAGACACATTTATACATATATAACGTATGCATGTGCTTGCACTCATATATGTATAAACATATTTGAGTTTATGCACCTTTGGATGGCATGCTTTGAAACACCCAGTGGCTGGTGAACATAGAATTATTCTTATGCTTTGCTCTGCGTCTTTACACTTGGCTTTGGGTTTGTATTGTGTCCTGCTGCTCCCTGAGGCATGAGAGTGATGGGCCCTGGAACTTGCAGGGCACCGCAGAGGGCACAAGGACTGGAGTGGCCTCCAGAACTACCACTGGCATCAAGAGACCCAGATTGCTGTTATCTCCAGTGAGGCTGGGGAAAACATTCTGAGAGCTTTCTAGCCACGGCCCTTTCACCTCCTGACTTAGTATTGCCGCCTAAACATATTCAGCCCCTTTCTGATTTCATCATATGCCTCAATCCATGATAAAAAAGACCACTTTTCTAGGTCATCTGAAAGGTATTTCTGAACTCCTTTAAGGCTCCAACTAGCACCTTTTCCTACTTTCTTGAAGATTCTTGGCAAGTTGAGGTAGTGGATCCTGCAAAAGAAAACAGGGATAGTTTCCAGATAAATCTTTATGTTTTGAATATTTTGGTGTCGCTTAAATCTATGCGTGTCTATCCCACCATCCTCATATCAAAATAATATGCAAGCTGAAGTTCCATAAAGAGCATAGAAAAAATGCAGGAGAGATGAAGGATCTCATCCCGAATTATAATAGGAGTTACACAGTCCAGACATCCCTGGGACCTTGGGCAGGGAAAGGCAGGAAGAAAGGAAAGGCCTTGAGCAGTACATACAGAGGTATTCGCCGAGATTCATGGCAGAAGAAGACTGCAGATCCTGGGGGCTGAAGTGGACTCTGGCCATTAATCAGGGCGATACAGGGTTGGCTCCAACTCGGGGTAAATATTGTCCCTACCACAGGCCCTTTGCTTTACAAACTTCCAGGACTCGAAGGAGAAGCAAGGGCATGCCCATTGCCCTCTATGGGGTCAGGGTGTGCCACAGTGGGACCATTCACCACAACGTGAAGAGCGAAGTCTAAAGAAAAATGAATGTTGTGTTGGAGAAATAAAATGCCTGCTGCTTGCTTTTCTCTTCCCCACTAAGACCAGCAGAACATTTTCCACTTCTTTCAGCTTCTCTGAACTCCAAGCTGGGCATCCATTTTAAGGTCCACAATTAATCAGTCACCCGATGGAAAGAGGGTGGGGGTGGGAGCTGGGAGGCAGCAGACTGAGGGAGCAGGAGAGGTGAGGCAGCAGAGTCTTTGGGGGAAACGTGCAATTATAGCTGTGTGAGAGGCTCACCATATGGGCAGTAATTTCTACATACCCGCAGGTCTCCATTCTGCTACGTGGAAACAGCAGGAAAACAAGTGCATGGACCTGCAGGACCATACACCTTCCACACAATTTGGGCAGCCAATGTCAGAAAAATCACACTGGTAGAAATTTCCGTTTTCAAACAAGGAAATGTTTATCCAGCTCTTGAGAGAAATTTGTGCCTGGAGGAAGATGAGCACACAGGACCAGCATGGGGCACAGCTCCTTCCTGCGTACCTCACCAGCAGGTGGGTGAGCATCTGGAGTCACCTTGCCAGTCCCAACACTGCCACGGTGACCAAGCTTGCTTCTCTGCCTGCTTTGTTCTACCTCTCCTGAAGAGTAGATAGATGGGCAAGCATTTGCTGCCTCTTTAGGTAGACCAATGACCACCTGTTCATTTTACGTTCAGTACCTTGTGACACAACCGTGTATCTTAGGAAAACACTCGAAAGCATGAGGTCAGATGTGCTAGTCAGCTTTCCGTAAAAGCGCCAACGTACTTGTGATAATTTACAAGGAGGAAGTTTTTGTTTTGCCCACAGTTTCAGAGGTTTTGGTCTATGGGCAGCTGATTGCTGCTGTTGGGCCTGTGGTGAGGCAGAACAGCATGTGAGCATGAAGTGGAAGAAACTTCTCAACTCCTGGCAGTGGGAGGCCGAGAGGAAGAGGAAGAGGCTGGGGTCCCACATCCCGTTCAAGAGCCCTCCCCGTGGGCTGAAGACCTCTTACTAGGTGCCGCTTCTTAAGGGCTCTACGACCTCCCAACAGTGCCATGGGCTGATGATCCAGCTTCCCTATGAATTGCTAAGGGGCATTCAGTATCTAAACTGAAACCTCAAGGGATACCTGGAATCATTTCTTAAGTCATGTTGCTCGATACAAATGGGTTGAAGTACCAGTTTACCATCGTGCAATCACTGAATAATATTTTCTGGGCATCTGTGATAGGTGAGTCGTTTCAAGATGCATAGATAAGTACTGCAAAGTTGATGGGTTCCAAGACCTCTAATCCGGAAGGAGACACAGGCAGTAAAAACTGACATTCCAGGGGAAGCTACTTTGAAGCTTTTGATATCGACTTTGCATCTCATTGTTACCTTTGTACCCTGCAAGAAATTAAAATGGAAAAACTAATCTCACTCACTTATGTTATAGTGCTTAGTCCTTAGTTAGCTGAGCAATTAATAACAAACATTTACTGGACATCTACTAAGTATCAGAAATTCTCAGGGAGCTTATGCTTATATAAAATAATGGTAAAGGCAGCAAAGGAAGTAGGTAGGGAGCTGTAGTACTTTCTATGGGATGAGCAGGAAGGTCTCTTTAAGGAGAGACTGAGCCACACAGACATCTAGGGAAAGAGCAAGTAGGTGAGTCTTTGGCAGGAGTGAACTGGGTTAGCCGGGATGTCAGGTGGTCACAGAAGAAGTGATTAGAAAGAGCAGATCTGAAGGTGTGTTCTGTCTGGATGCATGATCGCCTAAGTCCCGGTTAGGATTTGGGATTATAGAATGACTAAAATCCCTGAAGCAGCTGACTACCTACTAAATATTATTTAATGTTATGCTATAATAAAATAGCATTATTGATCTTTCTAGACTTTGTGGCCATCCTATATAAGGAAAGAGGTGGGCAGAACCAATGAAAGACTCCAGACCTGGCAAGGAACTAAGAAGACTGACTTTGTGGTAGGTTTTGAGAAAAAAAGGGTGGGCTCCAACTTTATTTTACTAAATCACTGCACTGCCATGTTGGGATTAGCCTGGAGCATGGCCAGGGCAGCGCAAGGCAAGAGGTGTGGAAACTGTGTTGGTGGAAGGTGTTGGTAGCTTGAACCGTAATGGAGATGAGAGGGGCAGATTCTAGATCTCTGTTAAAAGTAAAGCTAACGGTACTTACACACGTGTGTATTGTTTGTTTCACTTAAGAGTATCACGTCAATGTGCTTCCATTTAGCTATAAATATCTCTAATTTTTCATCTTTATGGCTGAGTAGTACTCCACTTTTAAAAATTGAGTTTATCGGTACCTTTTAGGGACACAGTACCGTTACATTCATCATTGGGATCTTGCACCTTTACATGACAGGTCTTGGTTCTCATTTTTTCCCCTTGTCCCTGCCCTTCCTTCACCCCCCCATCCCTTCCCTATTTACCAAAACTTTATTTCCATATAAAAAAGTCACATTTTCTTGATCCAGTTGGGCTGTTTCCAAGTTTTAGCTATTGCAAACTGTGCTACTATAAACATGTGTGCACATAGGATTCTTTTAATAATGTATCAATGAATTTAATGGATAAAAAAGTAGAGCCAATGGGACTGGTGGTGGATTGTGACATGTATGAGAATTGAAAAGGATAAGGTGATGCTGGGCTCCTGCTCTGGGTGACCAGTGGCCTAAGCAGGCCTGCACTGAGAGGGGAGGACACAGCGCAGAGCACGGGTGGGGAAGGGGCTGGGGAGGAACAAGGAGTTGGACTGGGCTTATGTTTTAGGAAAGGAGACAAGTGGGAATAAGGAGAGGGCAGACGGATGTAGGAATCGTGGTTTTGGAGTGGTGCGGGCGAGAGCAGGATCTGACGGTACTCAGTGTGGCTGCCATTTGCAGCTGTACGTCAGGCTGATTCACACGGAACAGGAACAGTGAAGGAGAAGAGTGAGGGCTGATTCCTGGGCCCCTGTGACTGGTTAATGTTGGGAAGATGAGGAAGGATCTGGAAGGGGCCTGCAAAGGAGTGTAGCTGAGAGAAAACGAGCTCGTGAATGCCAAGGGAAGGAAATTTCTGAGGAGCGCACATTCAGCCTTGACAGACTGAGAGGCTTACCCAAGGGAAGGATTTTCGTTTCTTTTTCTCATTTTTTGCCAGCCTTCAAAATTGAGTTTTATCCCTCCACACAGTAAGAATAACTGGTGGCTTTCTTTTGTTTCTTTTTCTAGGAATCAATATTTTCAACCCTTCATAGGGTACGTTGTCTTTGTGCTGCTATCACAAAATACATTAGAGGGGGTAATTTATAAATAATGGTAATTTATTTTCTCACAGTTCCGGGGACTGGGAAGTCCAAGATCAGAGCATCAGAGAGTTGGTATCTGGTGAAAAGCTACTGTCTGCTTCATAGAAGGTGACATTGCTGTGTCCTTGTGTGGGGCAAGGGCACACAGATTCCCCTCACCTTTTTCACAAGGGCACCAGTGCCATACATGAGGGCTCCACGGTCGTGACTGAACCACCCCGAAGGCTCCTCCTCTTGGTGCCATCACTTTGGTGATTAAGTTTCTATGTATAAATCTGAGAGAAACACAGATATTTGGAACATAAGGCATGCAACTGTTAGAGAAAAATACAATAAAAGAAAAGAAAAGAAGAAAGAAAAGATGAACTTGGACTACTAGGCTGTGAGCCTCACTAGTTGCAGTGTTTGTATTTCACATTTTATACCTCACCTAAAGGACAGTTTTGGTACGTTGTGGGCTTTTAATTCTGATGTCATGTAGTTGGAATTGGAAGTTAAGCTCTTGAATGCCAAGAGCACAGAACAGAGAGTTGCAGGGGTTGTAAAAGGAGAACATGCACAATTTGGGCTCAAAAAAATAAGAATCATCAATTTTGTTTTCTACGTGGCCTATTTATAACTCTCCTTTTGCAAACTGTAATCTTCCAGCAGGCAAAATTTGGGTCTAAAATATCTACTGTTTGTGGAAACTTAGACTAAATGCCTGGGAGTGGAACAAAAATTAAGAAACTAATGGAAGCAGAAATTTTCTCTTTGGCTCACTTTGTCCAACTCTACAACTTGACTAAATATTGTATAACTCTCACATTTTTAGTTTTTCATTTATATGATCACTTAGATTCTCAACCCTTAGGTCAAGTCCAGTCCATAGGAAGTGTGGTACATACCATGTTGGCTGACATTTACAATGGGGAGGTTATATGTATGTGTGTTCACACCCATGGTTCTCTTTGAAAACCTGGTCCCAAAATAGTCAGGACTCTCTATTTATGCATTTAAATTATCTGAGCAATCACTTTCTATCTAAAGGTCTGAGTAAGACCTATAGAATTTTGAGTTTGCAATCATTGAATCACACAATTTATTTATCATATAAATCATTAAAAGTTTAATATTACTTATTCCACCATTTTCAAGATGAGACATTCAAGTGTTGTCTGTGTGGTACATTGTTTTAGGTACTGCAAAAGTCACTTAAACAACTGCTTTTGATATGTCAACTTTGTTCTGAAAGAGTTAATAGAAATGTGTTTGCCATAGGTCAAAGCACTGTTAAAAACTGATAAGTTGAGTCACTATGACAGTATGTATCCACCATGTTGGACCAATCTTTTAAATCCATCAATCTCTAATTTCTGAAATGGTTTTTATTTGGTGGATTTGAAGGGTACAGAGTATGATACCCTAAAACATCCCATTTGGCATAAGGATTATTTTCCACTAAAAGCAATCTGTCTATCTGTTCTCTTTTCCATTAAGTGAAGAGCCTAAATCCCTCATGTGAAGGTCTCTCCTACTCTCCCTCTTGTGCCAGGAAACAGAGAACCACCATTATTAATTGAAGGATTGCCTTACGTTTTTCTCAGTGGGAAACAATATCTGACACTCACGAATTAAAGAATGAAAGTTTTATTTTAGCTCACAGTTTGTAGATGTTTCGTTCCACTGTCAGCTAGGTAGGAGGCAAGGCAATAAGGCAGAGAGGTAGGGCAGGGGAACACCTGCTGCTGGCATGGCAGACAAGAAACAGAGAAATGAAGGGCGGAGCCAAGGGAGAAGACAGACACCTCCCGGGCCCCTCTTCCAGCCAGGCCTAACGCCTAAACATCAAGTCAATTATAAATGCCCATAATTCAGTCACCTTGTAAAGCCCCCCTTTGAGTACTTGAGGCTTGGAGAGAGTATCTAGATACTAACTATAATCAAGAATCTGCACAGACAAATCTTATTAAAATAACTTCATCTACCATTAGTTTCCTCCAACTAATTATCTAAAGGTTTAGCGGGATAAATCCTAGCATGGATATGAACACACAGTGTTACAGACCCACAGAAGAGAGGGACCATTAACCTCATTAAATGAAAAGTTGTCCAGCATGGATGACTTCGCATCTACATTTTTTTTTAGCTAGAACAATTTAATTTCATTTATCAGCTCTGTTACTTTATTGTATGTGATGTATGACAGACCTGGACCAGATCTCATCCAAGCAACAAACATCCTCACCCTCTTTCAAAGATCTCTCTCTCTCAGTTAAAAAAGGATTTATTATTATGTAGCACTAAAGGCTAATTTTACAGAAGGCCTTCCTGTCTTTAGCTTTGCCATAAGCCACAGATTGAGCGAGTCATTTATGCTCTAGAACAGCATCTTGAACACCTGTCGATGAAGCACTCGACTAAGGCTCCTCATATGATAAAACACAGAAAATGATCTAAGTGATTGTCTTTGCAAAACTCCCCAGGATGGTATATTAATCGTGGCATTTTAAATGCACACAAGAGTAATTTATTCCATATAGTGGATACCTTAAGGTATTAGGGTTCAATTCTCTCAAGAACCCTGCTGGGCTCTGTTGTTGATTTAATTGGTTCACTGCTGTTCTGTCCCCAACCTTGCTGCAAGCCAGAAGTCCACATTATGAGTGAGGGATCTAGGTCACCAGGTGTCATTATGTCTCACCTTTCTCTCTGTGACATGAGCCTCCAACAGTTATAGAGTTTGGCCTGTGTGAATTATTGCTGTGGGGGCCAAGGCTAATAGTGTCATAACTTGAAAATTGAAATCTCAGTAGTTTGAGAAAAGCCAGGAAGAACTCTGGGTGCTCTAATATGATTTTAGGGCTAGATAATTATGAATTTGAACTCAATATGGCTGCATTTTCTACCGCAAGAAGTCCTAGTTTCAAGAGAGCAAGTGAAAATAATAATAATAAAGAAAATGGCAACATGATTATCAAGTGGTTGTTTCATGCTGCATTTAATCCTTGCAGAAACTCTTGAGCCAGTCTTTCTGTTCTCCATATAACAGATGAGGAATCTTAGAGAAGTTAGGTCACTTGCTCCAAATCTACGTCAAGAAAGTTGCAGAGGCAGGTTACAAATCAATGTCTCTCTGGTTTTGATCACCTTACAGTGCGTGGGATCAGGTTGTAATTCCTAGACAGCATGAAAGACAAGCACTAGACAGACTCCAGACCTGTCTAAATACTAAGAAGACTGAACAAGCATAGTGGATGATGAAGGCGGGGTTTGGAGGGGACGCCATATTCAGAGGATGGGCACCAGGCAGAGGAAGGATGCCCAAGTTCCACCTCCAGCTCTTGGTGGCACTGAGTCTGAGGACCCTCCGCTACCTTTTCTGGAATGAATGCAGTAGCCATGGAGGCAGGGCCCGGGAGGGGAGCCTTTGAGCTCAACTCCAGTGGGCAGGACTGGGATGTCTACCTGCTGGAGAGTGAACCTGTGCTTTTGGTTGTGAGGATTTGGTTTAAAATAGTGTCATGGGCTATCAGTATTTTTATGCATACTCTCAGGTCCATTTCAGTGTTTCTCAGTAATTATTTCCCAAGTTCTCGTGGGTTGAACCTATTTCAAGGGCTGTCTGAACCAATGGGATGACCTTTACGTAGAGTCAGAGGGCCTAAGAATCCACATCCTCCCAGGCCAGGTC